CTTTGGAGGCCCCCCCTCCCCCCCCCCCGCCAGGCCAGAGGGGACAAAATCGCCACCTTCTGGGACTCTTTTGAGGCTTGGGAAGCTTCAGAAGAGTCCCAGAATGTTGCAATTTCACCCCCTCTGACCCCGGGGGGGGCAGGGTGAGCCTCCAAAGGGTCCTAGGGTGTGTTCCATGAGATGGACCTCTCCATAAGGCTCACCAATTTTTAGGAGAAGAAAACAGATTATTTTTTCCTGTTTTCTTCTCCTAAAAATTTGGTGCGTCTTATGGAGAGGTGCATCTTATGGAGCGAAAAATACGGTATGTTTGCATTGGCTTTCACTCGGCTTATGAAGTACTGTTGTTCACTCTATCCTTGGTAGAGTATACTGAATTATAAATAATATAACTAAACAGTGCTCTGAATGTAGACGTAAATAACAACCACCCACCTTGTTGCCCAGTGAAGTGGTGTAGAGTTCAGGTCACCTCCCAGCTGGTCAACAATAGCACCTTTTGATATGTAGTATCTGAAGGTACAGAAGGGGTTACAACAGAAATCATGAAAGATACCCAATAAGAAGCATTGTCATCAAAAATAAACTGCCAACTGCAGCTGTGGAAAAATAATTTCACATCAGCTTTACTTCTAGCTTGCCCATTAACGGCACCCACTTTTTAAAGTATTTAAAGATAGCCAGCTGAAATCTTGCTGCTTAGCATAGTAAATTCAACTAGCATACGTCCATTGAAAGCCCTTCCCCCCATCATCCCAAAGCCTTGCCGATCAGCTGGGCGAAAATGCCGGTGGGGGCTTTGGGAGGCCGGGAGGAGCGTTCCCCCGCAGTCCTCCCAAAGGCCCCATTTTCGCACAGCTGATTGGCGGTTCCAAAATGGCTGCCCGCTGTATCGCCTCTCTTTAGAGGCACCAAAAATGGCTGCCCCTATGGAGGATTTTCGCATAAGGTGAGTTTTTAAGCCCATAGGAACGCATTAGTGGCATTTTAATGCGTTTCTATGGGTTTTTTAAATTCGTTTAGCGATGAAATCGCTTAGCAACGTTTTTTCCTGTACGGATTAACATTGCTAAGCGAGGCACCACTGTATTTTTATTCCAGCTTCAGCATTCAAACCCCACAAGAGGCCACAGCAAATTTCATTGATTTGCGGGGGTGTCCTAACTGACCCAAGTGCAACTGGGAGCTTTTTGAATTACCCTGCATCTGCTCTTGTATGATATATTTCTGCTTTGCCTCTTTTAGGCACTTTGTAACTGAATTTGCTTATTTCTTTTTATTTGTTACTATATAAGCAGAGGAATAGTGTAACTGGCAGCCCTGACCTCACCTGTCCGTCACGGTTGGGCTGTGGATCATCAGCCAATGGGGCGACGGAAGGTGGAGCTGGAGAGGGAGGAGTTGGAAAAAGAGGGGTGTGAAGTGTGGGGGAAGAGATGAGAGATCAGATCTGGAGTGTGAGAGAGAAAGAGCTTGTTTAGAGGCCTGCGTGCCTAAGTGGTCAGTGAGGGAAGTCTGTGATTGATTAAATAAGATTCAGTGATTGACATCTTGATTAGCTAATTGTGATTTACATATTTTATTTTGTTATCTCAATAAACCTGTTTTGTTTTGAAGGAAACCTTTGTCCTTCTTAAATAGTCATTACAACTGGTGGCAGCGAGTGTGAAGTAGTGTGGTGGGCATTCTGAGAGGCCTGAGTTGGCAGTGACATCAGAGTGGCCTGCTACGTCACAATAAAACTGGTGTCCAGCGGTGGGATTCGAAGATCCAGTGAAGCCTTGACTGGAAAGGTGCCCAGAGCAGGGGTCTTTAGTTAGGGAGGTCTGAGTGAACGCGTGGGTAACCTTCTAGGACTTATCTCACGGGGAGCGAGTCTAGTAGAAGGGCGCGGGACCTCAGATTGGGGACTAAGACAGGGAAGCTCTGTGGTGACCATTTCTGTGGAAAGAGTGGCCCAAAGCTGAAATGCGGCAGTCTGGCTAGCTTGTCCTGAGTTTAAGGGAGAACTCTGAGGGGACAAAGCGGAGCCAAGGGCAGTGAGGCTGAGGGGACTCAAAATAGCTAAGTCTGGGACAGGGGGAAGCTGTGTGTTTAAAATTTTGCTGCTTGAGGCAGAAAGAAAAAATTCTGTCTTTAATGGGAGGCCTAGCTGGAGGCAGAGGCCTAGTAACAGTAGCTAGCTTGCCAGTGGATGAGTGCTGGGAGCTAAATTGTAACACAGACACTCACTGACAGGGAAAAAGTGGACTTTTAAAATCAAGGCTTTTAAAAGTGAATAATAAGCCTTAAGAGAGGAAAATGCCTTTGACTAGAGGCAAGAAAACTGAACAGGTGCCTTGTGCAAAGGAAGCATGCTAGCTTTCCTCCCATGAAACAACTTATTAGGGGGGGAGGTAATGTAACAGGCAGCCCTGACCCCACCTGTCCGTCACGGCTGGGCAGTGAATCATCAGCCAATGGGGTGATGGAGGGTGGGGCTGAAGAGGGAGGAGCTGGAATAAAAAGGGGTGTGAAGAGTGTGGGGGAGATCAGATCTGGAGTGTGAGAGAGAAAGAATTTGTTTAGAGGCCTGTGTGCCTAAGTGATCAGTGAGGGAAGTCTGTGATTGATTAAATAAGATTCAGTGATTGACATCTTGATTAGCTAATTGTGATTTACATATTTTATTTTGTTATCTCAATAAACCTGTTTTGTTTTGAAGGAAACCTTTGTCCTTCTTAAATAGTCATTACAATTGGGGGCAGCGAGTGTAAAGTAGTGTGGTGGGCATTCTGAGAGGCCTGAGTTGGCAGTGACATCAGAGTGGCCTGCTACGTCACAAACAGCTATTGGAGAAAAGTCATCATACTTACATTAAATGGCTACAGTACACCTTTGTTCTATCTAATAATTGATTAGAGTAACAGAAAGGTACTTACTTCACTAAATCTAATCTGTTATTGATTGCAGCCCAATGGAGCAGTGTAACATTTTCTTTATCAGGTTGCCGTACATCATATCCTGCTTCCACCAACTCCCGACAGCGTTCGTAAATTCCATACCTTGAAAAATTCCATTGTAATAATTAGTAACATGGGGCTAACCATATAAAAGCATAACTTAAGTCTAATGTTTTCTACAGAGTTCTCATAACTGTATAAACATATGACATAATCAAGGAAAAAATTCTAGACAGGACAACCACATAACCCAAAACACCAACTTCTATTACTTTCCCCTCTTACGACAGTATCTGGTATACAAAGCTGTAACCTGGAATTTATTCACAGCCCACCTGGAATACTGTAATATGTCCCACCCTTCAAATTATTTCTCTACAACATAACTCTTTTTAATAATAAATAACAACATAAATAACTCTTTTTAAATAATACTCTGTGCCATACAATACACTCTTCACAAATGAAAGAAGGTGAGGAAAACAGATGCCAAAGCTGTGCTTGCCACCATGCTGAGCCAAACAAAATGGAAACGGGCCCAACTACTTCTTGGCAAATTGTTCAGAGATAGAGGACTGGAGGGAAGGGGAGTAGCTTGAAGGAGCCAACAACTCTAGTATGCATGCACATACTTATGCTTTGTCCAATAGATTGCACACATTTTTAGATTTCCAAGTATATCTACAGTCTAAAGAAGTCCATGATCTATATAGTCATTTATATCTAACTGGGAATGGGGAAAGCACAATAAAAATTAGGGATGTTTGTGATGAAAACTTGAGTTTATGTTTCATTTCAGGATCTTTCAGTAGCTGCCTTTTTCGTTTTCAGATCTCTCAGGCACTGTTTCTTTCCTTTTGTTTTGTGCATTTGTTTTTCTGGCAGTAGTAGTCTAAAAAGGCCCTAGGAACTTGTAACACCCCCCCCCCCAAAGCAGAGCCATAGTAACAGAGAATCAAAGCTACTGAAACACCAACAACTGTGCTTCACTCACTCACTCTCAGGTCTTTACACCACAAAAATTTCAGCCAGAAGGGTGGGAAGGAAAGAAAAAAAAAGAGCCAAAGTACTCTGATTTAGAACATTTCCACAGGGTTCTGAAACAAATCCAGGGCCTTTTCAACAGCTTCAAAATCCCTTCTCTGCCCCTCCTGGATATTCTTACTGGCCATGACAGCAGCCCTCCTGACATTATTTGATAGATTTCTTTGGGTGATTTGACAAACAAGGAGTGAAGGAAAGAGCAAACAAAAGAAGGAAAATGAAAAAACCATAGCTTTAAAAGCTATTCTATTTTACTAGTTTCAGTGTAATTATTTTTGTTTTTAGTTGGTTTGTTCTTTAATAAATGGTGAGCTATTCTGAATCCCTTAACTGGGAGAAACTCAACATAAAAAATTAAAAATGTTATCTCCCTCTTTTTCATTCATCATCATCATCATCATCATCATCATCATCATCATCATCATCATCATCACTATTTTTGAACTGAAAAGCTGGAAGGGATCCTTAATGGATCACTGAGTCCAGTCCCTGTCAAGGAGGCACAATGGGGAATTGAACTCCCAACCACTGGCTCTGCACCCTGATGCCTAAACCACTGAGCAATACAGCAGTTTAAAGTTAAGCATTCAGGTTTGAAAGGTTCGGTATCAGAAATCAAGGAAAAAACACAAAAAATGAACAAAATAGCCTTTTTTGTGTGTGCCTTTTCCCATTTAGCTTAAGCCAAAAATCCCATCTCTAACAGCAATGACTTTACTAAATAATCATGTGCCATCCATTAAGTCAATTCCAACTTATGGCAACCTTTTCCAGGGTTTTCTAAGAAGAGAATACACAGAAGTGGTTTACTATTCCCTTCTTTTGGGGGCACCCTGGAAGTGTGCAGCTTACCCAAGGCTACACAGGCTGGCTCTATTCACAAGAGGCATGGGGGAATCAAACTCCTAACCTCTGGCTCTGTGTCCAGATACCTAAACCACTGAGTTATCCAGCCAGCTAATATCTATCTAGTGAGCTGATAAATATTAGAACTCTTTATTTTTAAGCAGAGCAGGAGGTGGCACTCACTTTCAAGTTTCCTTTGAGCATATAACAGCTCCCCACCCCCTGCCAAGAGAAAACAAGAACAATATATTTCCCTGAAGGCCTTCTCCCCAGCTTTTAGTCAGTTCAACTTAAATCTGAAACTAGGTATCATCTATATAATCTTGGTAATGGACAGGATATAGTCATTCAACATTTGCTTAATTTTCTCTTTTGATTTTATATCATTTTTAAGGCTGATCATCTCACTCAACTTATGGCAAAAATTACATATATTCTGCATGATACAGTGCAGATGCATACTGCTGCGTGTGTTAAACAAAATCTAATAATAGGTACAGATTAGTTTGGCCATTTAAAATGAACTAGCTGTGACTCAGTTAAACATCTAAAATAAAATTAAAAAGTAGCCGTGTGATCCATCTGTATAAACAAGTGTCTGAGCTATACTCATACCTCTATTAAGCTTCTGAGTTCTCCAAGAACCCTTAGGAAAGCATGGGGATAAGGACTTTAAAAGTAAAAAAAAAGATATTAATTTGTTTTCTTTAAAAAATATACATTATTAGATTCAGATACTGAAATTGCCAATATGCAGGCAACACTGAACTTTGTTTTTATTTCTTCTATAGACTTTTCTGGAGCCAACAGTTAAGAATTGCCACTGTGTTCCTCAAAGTCTTCATGTGATGATCAGATATTTTACAAAGATTCTACTACTAATAAGCTTTCAAATAAATCCACTTACTGTGTAGCTTTAACAATATCCCATGTGCTGTAATCATCAATGTGGCTTTTGCGCCCAAGAGATTCACTGTATCCATGATTATAATGAGCTTGAGGCTTGATTTCCTAAAAAAAGAAGCTCTGTTAGGCTATTATATTCATTTTAAGATTTCTAGAACACAAAAATACAAGAAATGCCTTCTTATTTGTAGCAATGATGCATTCTGATTCAGCATTCTGTCTTCCACAATGGCCAGCCAAGGTATCTATGACAAGTCTACATGCAGGACATGACATTTCAAAGTTGTTCTCTTGCTATTCCCCAGCAACTGACAACGATCAATTCTGTTCTTGAACGTGGAGAGTCTATGACTTTAGACTCATGACTTGCAGTCACTGAGATTACAAAATTTGAGATCAAAAATTAACAAATGAATTATTTCAGAAATTCGAGACTGATTTCAGTGCTATTTTTTTCTAATTTCAGGCACCAGTTTTTAGATACCAAGCAATGACAACAGTAACTAGACACACAAAACAAATGTGCCTGTATATGGTATCTGTGTTGACATCCAACAGGAAACACCCTGAGACTTAGCAGACTTACTTGTGTCTAAGGAAATAATTGAAGTATGCCTGAAATAAGTGATACTATTTTAAACAAAGGTGGCCTGGCATTGGCCTGGCTCCGATCCTTCTTGGAGAATCGTCTTCAGAGAGTCCGGCTTGGGGAGGGGGACTCGGCCCCGTGGAGCCTCAATTGTGTAGTTCCGCAAGGCTCGACCTTCTCCCCAATGCTGTTTAACATCTATATGAGGCTGCTGGGTGGGGTCATCAGCGGGTATGGAGCATTGTGCCATCAGTATGTTGATGACACTCAGCTTTACATCTCCTTTTTTCCAACTACAGAGGATGCTGTTCTGTCCTTTCAGCGCTGTCTGGGGTCTGTACTGCAATGGATGCAGGAAAACGGGCTGAGGCTGAACCTGGACAAGACGGAGGTCCTGAGGGTGGGTGGACCCACCCTCAGCGGTTTGGGAAACTCCCTCTCTTTGGTGGAGGACTCTCACTGCTAAGAATGAGGTTCGCAGCTTGGAGATACATCTGGACCCGGCGTTCACCATGGAAACGCAGGCGTCAGTGGTTCACACCGCCTATTTCCATCTTTGGCAGACTGTCCGGCTGCATCCCTTTCTTGATGTTGGTGCGCTCACCACCTTGGTCCATGCACTCGTAATCTCGAGATCAGACCACTGCAATGCGCTCTACATGGGGCTACCTTTGAGATTAATGCAGAAACTCCAAATGGTGCAGAATGCAGTAGCCAGACTTTTTAGTGGGGTGAGGAAAAATCAACATATTACCCCCCCTCTGGCCGCATTGCATTGGCCCATTCGATTCCACGTTGATTTCAAAGTTCTAATGATCACATACAAAGCCCTAAACGGTTTAGGACCTTAATACATGGCGGAACGCCTCCTCCCACCTAGATCTACTGGTATCACCCGATCTAGCCAGGAGGGGCAACTGAGGAGCCTAACGCCGTTGGAGGCCCGGAAAGAAAAAACAAGCTACTGGGCCTTCTCGGCAGTGGCTCCCAGGCTCTGGAACATGCTCCTCGCCGAGATTTGTCTGGCCCCCTCACTGGGCATTTTCAAAAACCAACTCAAGACCTGGTTATATAGACAGGCCTTCCCTCCGGTCACTACGTAACTTTCTCTTCTTCTCTATCTTTATCTACTTTATTTTGTGTAATTGTTGTAAATTGTAATTTCATGTTTAGTGTTTTTATTCTGCGTTTTGTGAGCCGCCCAGAGTAGACTAGGTCTAAATGAGTGGCATATAAGCTCAATAAACAAACAAACAAACAAACAAACAAACACAAACACACACACACACAAAATGAAAAATGCACTCGTCCACTCGTCTGTAACAAGCGAAAAATGCTGATCCATGAGTCACAACTCCTTCCTTCCTTCCCTCCCTCCCTCCCTCCCTCCCTCTCTCTCTCTCTCTAACTCTGCAGCCCTCCCCCCCACATTGCAAAATGAAAACTGCCCTCTTCTCATGAGAAGAGTTTCAATGGCACATAAGAGATATAGCTTTGCAGGATAGTGTAGAGTAGTCCCATGCTGGAGAATATGGAGATTCCCTGCTCCCAATTTCAAACAAACGAGGTCACATCCTGGGGTGCGAGGGAACTATGGCTCCTTAAGAGGCCGGGCGCTTTTGCTTTCAGTTTTATTTTTGCTAGGGACATTCAAAAGAAAGGCATTCAAAATACAAGCTTCATGACCTCACAGGCACACAGGTAATAAAGCAACGCTTCATGACGAAATCACTTCACGATGAGGTTTTTGCGTCGGGAACCAATTCTTTGCATTATGACGATCAAAAACAGCTGATTGTCGGGTTTTCAAAATGGCCACCTGCTGTTTTCCGGACCTATGGAGGACCTTCGCAGGACGATGACGTATTTTGCCCATTGGAACGCATTGAACTGGTTTTCAATGCATTTCAATGTTTTTTTTTCTTTCACTTGATGACGATATCACATAACAGCGATTTTAACGGAACGGATCATCGTCGTCAAGTGGGGCACCACTGTATGTCAATATTTGATACTTCCACATGGCCAGAAACGTCCTTGGAAAGTTTTGGTAAAAAGGAAGTAACCGTACTTGTATCTCATTACAAAGACCTTTTGCAACACAAGGGCAAAGAAGACATTGTTCAGAAAGCCCTGGAAGAATGGTATGAATTCGAAATATGTGAAAAAGGTCTTGCAGTGGATTTACTGGGAAAGGCAGTGAACCACCATGGGGGTAGGTTCCCTGTTCTTCTGAAGCTTCTTAAAATTGCCTCTGTTCTACTAGTTTCTACAGTTAGCTGTGAAAGGGGTTTCAGCCAGATGAATCTGATCAAAAATAAATTCAGATTGTGTTTAGAGACTGAAAGATGCCCTTAGGATGGTGAATCCAAATGGACCTCCACTACCACAGTTTAACCCTATTAAAGCCATCAATAAATGGTACTTCAGTGCTAAGGCTACCAGGCATGTTCAAGGACACAAGTGCAACACCTCTGACTACTAAGAAGACATAGGTGAATATCGTGTACATACAGTGGGCCCTCGAATTATGAACGGCCCTAGTTACGAACATTTCGGGTTATGAACCCAATCTCATCGCAAGTAGTAAACCCTACTTGCGAAAGCAGATCGGGTTAGAAACCCAAAAGGCAGGGAGAAAGGGAGGGGAATTCGAATTTCCTGCCCTTCCTCCCTCCTTTGGAGCTTTCAAAAGGCTTCCTCTGACATCGGAGGAAGCATTCTGAAACCTCCGATGCCAAAAAGGCAGGGAAAACAAGCCGGCCGGCCAGGAAGAAATCGGCTCCCTCCTTTCACCCAATTCTGAGTCCTCTTTGCGCTGGGCTGAGCTCAGCCGGTGCGAAGGGGACTCAGCATCGGGTGAAAGGAGGGAGCTGATTTCTCCCCGGCAGCCCGGCTTGCTTCCGAAGCAAAAAAGGCAGGGAGAAAGTGTGGGAAGTTCGAACTTCCCGTGCTTTCTCCCTGCCTTTTTGGCTTCAGAAAGCTCCGAAGCCGCCCGTTGCGGTGGCGGGGACCCCCAGGGAGGTCTCCCAGGGCTTGCACGTCACCATGGGAGACCTCCCTGGGGGTCTTCACCGCCGCGATCAGTGCCTTCAGAGGTTTCAAAGGGCTTTCCCCAACATCGGAGGAAGCCCTTTGGAAGCGCCAAAGGCAGCGGAGCCAGCAGAGCACCAGGCGGCTAGAGCAGGCCGGGTGCCTGGCCACTCGCCCCCCCGGCCATGCGGAGCCAGCGGAACGCTGGGAGGCTTCAGACTGGTAAGTCCTGTTTTAAAAAAACCGTTCTTTGTGGGTTTT